TAGCCTCTTCCCTCGATGAAACCGGGTGTATTGATGTCGAGGGCAACACAGGAAATTAAATGTGTTTTCTACTTTAACTACAAGATAGAGATTTTTGGTTGATATAATTTCATGGAAGAAAGAGAAATCAAATGATACTGCCTAGGCCCCTTATAGATCTAGATTCTAGTGCTAAAAGAAGCATTTATATCGAATGAAAAAAGGCCGGCTCTATTTCTCAGAATGCTCGGGAAAATTTACTTGAACTCTATTTCTCTGTGAACTGCTTCAGTTCTCGAAATTTCGGCGCTTTTTCGGTAGTTCCCACCCCGCATTTGTTTTTCGCCGGTATTGCCCCCAAGAGTAGGGGGGTTTCAGGTAATATCCTGCACTTTTTAAAAAATTACGCACATTTAGGGTTTAAAAAACAGCCAATTATCTTCTTCGGCCAAGTGGACACACGCCCTTATTTGTTCATCTTTGTGGTTGTTTATGGGCCGTTCTAATTTTGATTTTATTCTGTTGTGAAACCTTTCTTTTTTCACGTTTTTAGGCTCATCTAAAAATCTCTAGACAAGCTTTTGAAAATTGAAATAGATCTAGACTAAAAAATTTGCTCCTTCCCAGACCTCGCAGAATGGCAAAATGAAAGTTGGCGCCAAACTCTTGCAAATAGCCAAAAAATCAAGAGACCGGAAACCGTTCGGAGAAATAAAGATCGGCACTGTTTCTCCGAACATTCGGAGAAATAGTCACTTCGCTTGGTTTTTTTTTTGAGTTTTTGCTTTAAGGGTGAAAATGCAAAATAGGCAAAGTCTTGTTTTCTCGCTGTACCTTTCGAAGGCATTTTCAAATGAAGTATAGTCCGGAAACGTTGCCCCAACCACAGTTGAAGTATCTGAATATTCAGACATCTAAAAACTCTAGCTCTAGAAATTGAATTCGATATGTAAAAACTGCTTCTCTCAGTCCTCGCAAATAGGCAGAATGAAAGATGACGCCGAACTCTCGCTAAAATTAACCAAAAAATCTCGAGAACCGAAACTGTTCAGAGAAATAGAAGTCAAGTTTATTTTCCCGAGCGTTCGGAGAAATAGTCACTTCGTTTAAAAAAAAAAAACAATGCACAGCAGGGCAAAATGCAGTTTTTACCGTGGACATTTGAGTTGATTGTAAGTTAACGTTTTGTGTCACAGGAAAAACAGTAGAAGGCAACTAAATCAAAAGACAGAGATTGTCTAAGAATAAGGCTATCAATCATCTTTCAGAACTCCAAACTGATCTTTGACAGGAAAAGAAAGAGGATAGTATCAGGGATTGAGATAAAAGTGTGTTTTTTTTTCAGAGTATCATCTGAGCAGAGATGATTGCTGATGTCAATTTCATATCTTCTTTGCTGCTTGCTATTTTCATATTATCTGAAGAAAGAAGGGAAAAAATATTTTTTTAAATTTGTGTGTTGATGTGCTTCACACTGAGGCTGAGGGCCACTGTACTCAAACAACTTTGCATTTATTTGCTTTTATTCATCTGTGGCGTCGGTGGCCTAGTGGTTAGGCTCTCGGACTCGAATCGTAAGGTCGCGGGTTCGAATCCTGTCAGGGGCTCGACGTTGTGTCCTTGGGAAAGGTACTTTAAACACGAATTTTCCTTACTTCACCCAGGTGGGAATGGGTACACAGCTATAGACAGCGAAAGATCTTGTCAGTTTGTTAGTGTTTGAGCGCTTAATCAGCTGTTTGCACTGTATGCTTCCCGGGAAGCTGAGAATGTTTCGGAGTGTTCTATGGTCTGCTGGGGTAATAATATAGTGTAAAGCGCCTTCGCCTGCTGTTAAGCGGGGATCATGCGCTATACAAATGCTATTTATTATTATTATCTGTCCAATCAAGATTATAACTTTGAGAGCCCTTCATATAATATCAAATGACTACAAAGAAACCAATAGATTAGAGGCTATGTATACATTTATGGTGTTAGTCTTATATTGGTCTTTTAAAATGTTTTCAAGCGCACAAAAAAAAAGACCAAAATCGGTTCTGATTTAATTAAATCGTCAGTGAAAGAACACACAAAAGTTACTCCACAGATGTTCTGTAATGATTTTTAGGGCATGCTCATTATATTTTAATTTGTTTCTTTTTGAGGACCCAGATCAACCTCGGCATATTATATTGTTCTGCTTCTTGAACAATAAAAAGTTGACTTATAATAGATCTTTCAATTGTTAGAGCATAGCTCTATCAATGTAGATAAAATGTAGACCCCATATGATGTGAAAATAATGAGAGTTAGCAATTATTTTATTGAGGCCCTGAAAACAAACGAGTCAGCTTTGTAGAAAAATAACTTGTGATCAGAGCTCTGCAGTCATTAAATTGCTGTCACGGAATTTTCTAGCTTTCTTTTATTTTCTCTTTTTTTCAGTCTGGTCAGATGAAAGTGGGAGCAGGCTCTGAACAGGTCACATTCTAAAATGGGAAACATAATTCCAGTAAGTGTTACGTTTAAACTTGTACAGGTATGATTCTTTTGTTGATGAATAATGCATTTAGTTCACTTGAAATATTCTGTAAAGTCATTAGCATAGTTGTGCATCATGTTTAGGGAGGGTAGGTTAGAAGATGTCTTGTAACATTTTACCTGTGTGGTCTGTCTGTGTTATTACTGTTTGTTAATTTTTTAAATGTCGTATCCTGCATTTTTACCCATGGTGAATGATTGCCATATTTTTACCAAGTTGCAAAAGTTCTGTCACACCCATTATATGCTATGATGATTTTCGCCACAGCGTAATAATTGCAGCAAAAATGAAAAAAGCATGACTTGTGTGACTTATGAGACTCCACATGCATATGATGAGCAGACGAAAGAAATCATAAACCGGAAGTAGAACGTGAGCAAAGTGTTAGTTTTGATTTCTCACGGTGAACGTTGAAATCAATGCACTCTAACCACACAATTTGCGTTATATCACGCAGACAATGTGTAAACACACCTTACACACCATAAAATTCCATGACTTTTAACAGTTGGGTCATTTGTTCTCCTGTTTTCAAAATAACAAAACGGACAAATACAGAAAATGAACGCGCTGTGTGAATGATACATTCTTCAATTGCGCTTTCTTCTGTTGCAAGATACGTAACTGTGTGCAGCAGGACAATCTAACACTTTAACAAGCGTTTTAACATCACTGTACTAGATCTAGATCTGTCCAAGACAAGCCTATACATGGCCAACCAAGGGCGACAATTCAAAGTCAGATGTGGGTTATTGTCAAAACCCATGTTCGAAACCCGTTCCAACCAAGTGGATAGACTGCCAGGTACATCGCTCTGTCTTAAAACACCATTATTTGACATGAATATATACATATGATCGTAGATTACGGGATTATCGCCCTTTATGTGGAGCCATTCTAACCCTGTTTCGTCAAACAAATCGCCAAATTTGGGCACAATAACATCGTCGATGGATCTGATGATATTGGTAAAGTGTTCCATTCAGCAATAGTTCAGATTTTTAATTCGTTGCATTAATGGAAGAGAGAAAGTGTTTAAAAGAAGACGATAGTGGTTTCCCAAAGCCAAAGTCCCCTAAGTGGACTGTTCTGGTGCCTGAAATGTGATGATGTGGGGGTGAATTCTCCTGCTCTTTATCATACAAATTTAGTCACTTTCCAAAGCAACATCAAAGGAGGACGGTATCGTGACGAAATTCATCGTCACGTTGACTTCCCAATATGGCAAGATTGGTGGAATGTGCTAACAAGACAGCGTCCGACCCCATGTGGCCATGATTAGCCAAAACTCCTTCTAAAGTCATCAAATCATAGTTCTTGACTGGCCTGAAAGATCAACAAGCTTTAGCCAAACAGAACATCTGTAAGATGACCTTGACTGGCAGATTAGAAACAGGCCGCACTCTGTACAAACTCGTCAGGAACTGAAGGGTGCTCTTCACAAGGAATGGCAGAGGATTCCTCAGGCAACCACAAGGACTTTAATTCAGTCAATGAACAGACTTTTTGTATCAGTAATTCAAGCTGGAAGAGGCCACACACAAAACTGAGCTAACTTTGATTTGGATTTTGCCAGGGTCAGTGTGTATAAAATTATCGCCCTTGAATAAGCTATAATATTGGTCAATTCTTTTAATGTTATTTTGGCAGATAATAAATAAAGATCATGTGTACCAACTTTCTCATGGCTATGTGTTGAAAATAGATTAGTTATTATACTTTTAAAGTGGGTGTGACTGAACTTTAGCAACAAGGTATAGTTTGTGATAGTCTTTTACTGGAATGAAAAGTTTATAAATGTCCGTTAAGGTCTGATTTTTCCTGCTGTGTCGTTTTTACCTGTATGTTAAGTACTTTTTTATTGACATCTTTTTTGGTTTTTTTTTACAATAAATGCTTTTGTGTAAATACAATTGAATAGGCCTGAACCGAAACCTGTGCAAGATAGAAACTTGTCATGACTGAATCCCTCCCCCTTCACCCTTGATCGTAAAACACAGTTTTCAATTTCCCTGTATACATACATGGCATTTTGTGATTAATCTCACTTGGCCTGAATGTAGACTGATTGTCATTTAAAAAAATATTTTTTTTTTAAAGTAACAAAAACAGTAGTCCTTCATTGTTCCTTTCCTTTTATCATGTTCCAGAACTTCTTCGGTTCCTGGGAACCGTACCAAAATGTTGAATGCCAGAATGCTTGGGCTGGCTGCGATGGTGAGTTTGCATTGTCATAATTTGAAGAATGTACTACGGTAGACTGTTGGTTTTTTTTTCTCAGTGTAGGTTTTATAGCGCTCCCCATCAACACAATTTATCATTTAGGAGGTGGGATTTGAACCTGCCTGTCAGGGTCAAACAGGGCTGAGAGGGATACAACCTCATGGCAGAAAAACTGAGTTACTTGATACGAAGTCTCCCTGTACAAGAAAGGAACTCTGGTATTCTGTGTGCGATGGTGACGCACCCTAACCACTACACTGTTGCTAGTAGAGTGTCAGCTGAGTAGTAGAAAAATTCTGTCAAAGACGATGAGAGGAGTGGAGACATGCTTGTGGGTATCTTCTCTTTGTTAAAGGTCTGGTCTAGCTGAGGTCCAGCTGATTATAGTGAACTTTTTTCTTATTTGTTTTCATTTTAATCTCTAACGACGTCTGCCTCTAGCGTTTAGCCTCAAGTGTTTTGCAAGACAGAGTCATAAAGCCCTTTGGTCCAAATGTTGTTGTTTTTTCAATTTTTCAGCTTCAGAAGCAGGGGCACCTATTACTGGAGGAAAGCTTGTTAATGGCAAACTCACGCGACGGAGAGGTGAGAAATCTTTTCCTTTTTTTTTTTGTCTTTCATGTAATTTATATTATTGTCGAAATTGTTACTGCAGTTTGCTCTACAAATGAAATCTGATCAGACAAGTACTCTGATAAAACCGTAGCCCTCTGATTTTTTGTTGCCCGTTAAAGAACGAGGATCGCATTTGCGTAACATCCTATTTTAGCCTCAAATTCCGTATCCATCAGTCATAAGCAACTTATCATAAATGAGGTTGCGATACACTTGATTATTTCGAACTTTGGCCTGAATTGCCGTACATGATTTGAAAATTCACATTATTATTAGTGTGCTTATTTAAGTTATTTGCATGTATTTACTATACACCTTTATTTGCTACCTTCAGTTTGTAACGCTATCTTAATTTACTGGGGTTCTAGAGACTCAATTTTTGTTCTCCCCAAACTCTTTTGGTCACGGACAGAGAGGATTCAACTGTATCTCCGTCTGTCAGTTGTGACAGTGATGTATTCCACTTAGCCAGGGTTGACTCGGACTATTTTAAAGTAACCTAAATCCGGAACAGCATAAAATATGTCAACATGGTGTTGAAACATTGACATCAGCCTGTCAGAGTGGGTGATTGGTGGGTGCTATAAAGGGGTTTAGTCCCTCATTCACATCAAATGTCCATGGCCCTTATCCCTCCACCTCCTTTTCTTTGCATGTTACTTCCTAGAGACACCTAATTATCTACACATATGGGATCTATAAGGGACGCTCACTGATAAAACAATCAGGAAAAGACAAATGCAGTTTTTGGGACCCATGAATGGACATAAAGGTCTTGAACATCTAGCTCTCACTGGCGAAACTGGAGGCAAACGAGGCAGGGGCAGGCCCAGAGCAACCTTCTCAGAGAAAGATGGGGAAAGATCAGGGTAATATAGCTTTTTTAAGAGCATCCGAACAAAGGAATGAATGGAGAACCATGATTGCTGATGTCTGCCGCAGATCTGGGACTTGATGATGATGTGACCTATATGTGTTGAAAGTGTCATAAAACTCTTATGAATACTAAAATTAAAGCCAGTCTGATGGATAGAACCATGTGACTAGTAATCAGGTTTATGGTGAGTGGTAGAATATTTAAGGACAGTGTATAAATAGATTTCATGTCTACTGTTTTCACAATGATGAATTTCTCTCTGGCTGAAACAGGTCTGAAAAGAGCTTGATTTGTACTATTGTGTTTGTGCAGGTGATCACGAAGTCGATGAACGATGTGTGGAGGTCGGCGGCCCGCTGAGCTCTATGTCCAGCTGCACCAAACACCCGGGTCACACCGACTTCATCCCGGTCCCAGAGTTTGGCCTGAGGCATCTGCCGCGACCCTACAGGAACAAGCTGGTGCTGGACTTCTTGAAGGCGTGCGCTAATCTGGTCGTGCGCCTCCATCTTGGCTTCATCAGCGACGGCCGGCCGGAGAAGTGGCCTGGCACGGAGGACAGGTATCCGTTTGCCGTCCACCGAGGGACTGACTTGGTGAGTAATGTGGGCAGTGGGTGGGTGAGCCGCGTGCGACCTTGCTGGGAGGAGCACGGTTTGTGTCGCTGTGCGACGTGCCGTGAGATGGAAGATGAGGGGAAGGAGAGGAGATGGTGGGAGGTGTTGATTGTCACGGCTCGCCATGTTGTCTTTGACTCGGTCGAAGCGAAGATGTGTGAGGTCACGCTGTTTGATGATCACAAGGACGGGAGCGGGTCAGTTGTCCTGATGGCGTATGAGATGGGGCTGGGTCACACTGAAGAGGATTTCTGCTTCGTGATGTGCGCGACCCATGACCCGAAGGTCGCTGAGAGGCTTCAGGAAATGATGGACGAGAGGGAGACATTGAGCGATATGATTGTACAGCAGTACCAACACGTGGACGACATCCCCACCAACACGGTGGTCATCTCGCACCCTCACGGACGGATGAAGTACGTCTCTGTGGGTGAGTTTAAAGGTTTGGAGAAAATGGGAGACAAATGGATCTACAGTTTCAGGCACACCGCGGCCACATGCCCGGGCAGTAGTGGGGGCGTCGTTCTCCCTCTCATTGGCTGGTGGAGAGGCTTATTTAGAGCAGCACCGCACAATTTTGCACTGACCAGCTCAGAAAATCTGAGCGGCAGATGGGGCTTTTTTTTCTAATTCTATACAGTAGTCTCCACCTAAACACACGGTGCTCGGGAGGGCTCCTGAGCATGTATTTATACAGAGCGTGCGTTTACATGAACCTGAGCAAAGGGAGGAAGGGACGTAGTCACCTCATTGCCATAATATACTAGTTACCTCCCTTTGAGGGTGGGGTCACTTTGGCCGATAATGTGACGACAGGTGACTGTTTTGTGAAGGATTCCGTTAAGAACACAAAGGCGTTGAATGGTTGAAACCCTCCCCATATTGCACATCCCTCAT